TACGTACCAAGCTCTCGATCGTTGCTTGGGGCCATTTAATATTGCATGCAACCATGTTAGTTTACCTGAGGCCTGTTACGACCCAACCATATAGCATCTTTCAATTGGTTACCGGATATGAACCCACATATCACGTATGCGCGTTTTTTTGTTGTGCAGTCTATGTGTCGATTTCGCCACCCTTACGTACAAAAATGGGGCCTCAACAAAAGATGGGAATCTATGTTGGATATGATTCTCCTTCGATCATTTATTACTTAGAACCTTTGACAAGTAGTCTGTTTACCGCTCGTTTCGCAGACTGTCACTTTTATGAGACAGTCTTCCCATCATTAAGGGAAGATAAGAACCTTAACGTTCCTGAAGAATGTAGCGAATTATAGTGGATGGCTCCCACTTTGTCTCATTTAGATCCCCGCACCGCTCAATCTAACACTGAAGTGCAGTACATATTAAATCTCTAGAGCATAGCTCAAAGCATGCCAGATGCTTTCACCGATCTAGCATGAGTGAGAAGATCACATATTCCAACTACGAATGTGCTTGCAAAGATGGATGTACCAAATGTACGACAGACTTTCCTCATGGAGGCCTAAGACGCCAATTTGGCCGATCCATATACATTAGCGGCTAGCCAATACTTTGCCCCTACACAGAAGTATGGCATACCACTTGGTTCAAAGGATTCACACCCCCAGAAGAGGAAACTCATGACACATGCCCCTAAAAAGCCTACCGTGAATTCAACTATCGCCTACTCATTCTATCCAACTCATGAGGAAATTCTAGATTATGGAAGCGTCCTTAAAGAGATGAATCCGCCTTTCAAAATAGCTACTAAGATGATAGTCAACGATGCATTAGCATATGCAATAGCTACTAAGATCATGTTGAACGATGACATTAAACCTTGTTCCGTTGATGAATGTCGACTTAGAACCGATTGGTCAAACTGGAAGCAAGCAATCCAAGTCAAACTCGATTCGCTTGCGAAATGTAAGGTGGTTGCACCTGTAGCTTCTACTCCTTCACATGTGAAGCCCGTTGGCTACAAGTGGGTTTTCATTCAGAAGCGTAATGAGAAGAACGAAATTGTGCGTTATAAAAAGCTCATCTTGTTGCGCAAGACTTCTCACCCGTTATAGATGTGATTACTTTTTGCTACCTTATTGTTTAGTAGTTTTTGAAAAACTGAGTATGTAGATGATGGACGTAGTAATTGTGTATCTCTATGAGGATCTTGATACAAAAATTTACTGAAAGTTCCCAAATGACTTACATTGACTAGATCAAATATTTCCAAACCCCAGAACACACTCTCAGATCGGCTGAGGTGTTCACTCTACAGTTTGAACCAATCTGGAAGAATGTGGTATGACCGTCTGAGTGAGTATTTGACTAGTCAGGGATATGTGAACAACGAACTATGCCATTGTGTGTTCATTAAGAAGTCACATTCCGGTTTTGCAATTGTTGCAGTTTATGTCGACAACATAAACCTCATCGGAACTCCTAAAGAGCTTGAGAGAATTGCAGCGCACTTGAAGTCGGAATTTGGGATGAAAGATCTTGGAAATACTCAATACTATCTTTGTCTTGAGATAGAGCACCGTTTGAATGGAATCCTAGTACATCAATCGAACTACACCCATAAGGTGTTTCGCCGCTTTAACGAGGATAAAGCGAAGCCTTTAAGCACTCGTATGGTCGTTCGATCACTAGATGCAAAACGAGATCCCTTCCGTTCGAAGGAGGATGATGAAGAGATTTTGGAGCCTGAAGTATCCTTATCTAAGTGCAATATGCGTTTTATTGTACTTAGCTCAATGCACTAGACCCGACATCTCCTTCACTGTTAATCTTTTGGCAAGATACAGTAATGCACCAACATGTAGACACTGGACTAGTGTTAAAGACATCTTCCGCTATCTTAATGGTACCAAAGATTTGGGCTTGTTCTATCTAGGGATGGGCAATGGAGAGATTTTGGAGCCTGAAGTATCCTTATCTAAGTGCAATATGCATTTTATTGTACTTAGCTCAATGCACTAGACCCGACATCTCCTTCACTGTTAATCTTTTGGCAAGATACAGTAATGCACCAACATGTAGACACTGGACTAGTGTTAAAGACATCTTCCGCTATCTTAATGGTACCAAAGATTTGGGCTTGTTCTATCTAGGGATGGGCAATGGTTATGCGGGCGGGTAACCACGATTAATTTACCCATAACCGTTTATGCTGATACCCGCATAACCGTTTACCCGTTGGGTAATTGCCTAAACGGTTATATCCATACCCATAACCGTTTATAAACGGTTAACCATACCCATAACCGCATACCCATTTAACCGTAACCGTTTAATACTCATTTACCCATTTATCCTTTTTAACCCGTTTATCTTTTTTTTTTTTACCATTACCCTTTTTTCACTCGTCTACATATTTTTTAACAACTTGAAAATTAAAAAAAATTATCATAATTTTTTTTTTTTGACAATTTAACACCGTTATAGGTACATTCATCATACATTTCCATATTTTAATTTTTTAAGTCCTTATACCATTCCAATAATTGAAATAATAGTTTACGAACGATATTTTTAATTGTTACCAATGAAGGTAAATATAATATTTGCTAAGTATTATTGGGTTACAAAAATTGTTTAGAAGACATTTTTGTCAAAGCATTTCTGTCAATTTCACGGTTACCCGCAAGGAATTTAAATTAATTTGGCCAATTCCTTGATGATGAGAATCATCATTCCTGTAGTAGTGTTATTGAGAGAAGGACTGATGAATTCCTTGCTAATTTATTGGGTGCTAAGTATTATTGGATCGAGAACATGGTTTGTGTTAGTTTTACATATATAAAATAAATGGGTAAACGGTTACCTGTTTATAACGGTGGTTAATACCCATAACTGCCCATTTAAATTTCACAGGTAAACGGTTATACCCGTAACCATTTATTTATCTAAACGGTTACCCATAACCGTAACCATTTAATTTCAATGGGTGGGTAACTGCGGTTACCTATAACCAATGGGTATTTGCCCATCCCTAGTTCTATCCCTATGGATCCTTGAGTGATGTCGTACCCCTTTTGTCTCAAGTCGATTCTCGCCTTGTTGGTTATGCCGATGCATGATACTTATTTGATCCGCACAAGGCGCTCTCTCAAACAGGTTATGTCTTTACCATTGGAGGTACCGAAATCTCTTGGAGGTCAACTAAACAGACCTTAGTTGCCACTTCGTCTAATCATGTTGAAATTCTCGCCCTACATGAAGCAACTCGGGAATGCTTCTAGCTGAGAGCAGTTATGGGCCATATTCGAAGCTGCTGCAATCTTAACCCCATCGTTGACGTCTCGATGACGATCTATGAAGACAACGCAACATGCATCGAACAACTCAAGAAGGATTACATCAAAGGAGACAACACTAAGCACATTACGCCAAAGTTCTTCTTCTCACATCAACAACAAGAGCATCAGAAGATTGAAGTCTCGTAAATCTGTTCACAAGACAATCTGGCCGACCTCTTCACCAAATCATTACCGAAGACAATGTTTCAGAAGCTTGTTCAAGGAATTGGTATGCGTAAGCTTTCTGAGTTGTAACATTGTTAGTTTTCTTGGAATTTTGTCATACTCAGGTGGAGTATCCTAGTTCTCTTAGAATTTTGTCAAACTCAGGTGGAGTATCCTGAAGTATACTTGCTTGATCTTAATGTACTATTTTTCCCTACGATTAGAAGCATTTTTTCCACTAAGTTTTTGCTACCTAATGAAGTTTTGACAAGGCACCACTTTTGGGTTAATCATATTCTTGATGACATCCTGTAGACATTTCATTTGATTTTGCATTACTCACGTATTTTTCCATAGACTAGGGATTTTGTCCCTACTCGGGTTTTTACCATAGCCTTACGGTTTTTTGTGAGACTTACTTCCTTATGCAAGTTCCTACCTTATTGAGACTAGCGTGTTCCCAGAATCAGTGCCGACGAGTTGACTTCCTCAACTCTACATGATGCCGAATCTACTTGAGCATTTACACACTCAAGGGGGAGTGTTATAAACTTCTTACTTAAGTGTGATTATGTAAATTCTAGATTAGATTTTATTCTAGTTATTCTACCTTATTAGGACTTATATTCCTTGGAGGAGAAGGATTTCTTCCCTCCCTTGTTACTATAAATGAAGGCCATGCGTAGGGAGGAATAACACATCCTCTACACAACCCTACAAACACATCTCTCTCTATATTTTTTTTTTTTTGTGCCGCTAGCCCCCTCTCCCTGTCAGTTAAATATAGGCCACAACAATATAGTTATTTACTATGTTGGGTTGCCGGATTTCTATGATATCAATGATTCGATAATTATCATCATTTTTGTGATTAATATCAATTATAGATAAAAAAGATGAGGCTCATTCACTCCTCTCATGTTGAAGCAAAGATGACATGCATGTTCAACTTGTCAAACAAGTTGGAAAATACAAAACAACCTTAGTAAAATGAAAAGCAACAACTTTGGTATCTAACTTCTCCTTAATAAAGTGTCAATCAATCTCAATATATATTGTATAATCATGTTGCATCGAATTATGAGCAGTCTCAATAGTTGAGTTATTAACCCAGTCCAAACTAATAGCTTTCGAAGGACCAAACCCAAGATCTCTCAACTTCTCAAACTAAAAAATTCAAACACCGTGTGACATAGGACAAAATTAACAAAAGTCGCCCTTTTGGCATTTTAGGAAATATAATAAAAGTCCGCATTTGAAGGAGATGCACCTCTTTTTGATCATCATCTCTTACCATCATAACATCAACAAATATAATAAAAGTTGCCCCTTCGGAAGCGATAGCAGTTTACACATGAACAAATTATTCAAGTAGTGAACCATCCATATCATGTTCGCAGTTTACACATTTCAGAAGCGATAGCAGTGCCGAGGGGAAGTTCTATATAAACTTTCTTTCGGAGATTACCATAAACAAATTATTGACTTCAAATTGTACAGGGGTCAAATGAGATTAACAAGATCCAAAAATACTAAAATCATTTTATCCATCAAACAAAAATACAGGAAACGAATTGAGCCTAAATTTTAGAGAGAAATCTTAAGTTAATAAGACTACCATCGCATTATCATAAACAATTCATGTAAAGCTCAATCGTACAGATTATCTGCTCCCTATAACAAAAGCATCCTAATCCTCTTCTGTAATAATTAATTAGTCCACATTCAAAACAAAATGGTACTAACTGAACCAGAGGACACTGGATCCCGCAGTCCATCATCCTTTGAATTTTGCAGGGTTCCTTTCGGATAATGATTACGCTTGCACTGCATAAAGAGATCTGTGAGTATCAGATTTTATACCCCAATTTACAAAGACACCCCTATGCAATCCCTTAAACCCGGAAAACACACATCCCCTCGCTGCTCCAAAAAACATAAAATACATCCAGCAGATGGCAAGACAACCACAAGACATCATCATGATTGAAGAATTAATTTTGAAAGAAATCCACCGCCATGATTGAATCAGCAAAATATATGCAATTTATGAAAAAATGATAATCTTACTGTAAGTAGAAGTATCAATTTGTTCCGGAAGCTCCTTTATATCCACCTCAAACCTTGACTGGACCTGGAACAATCAATTTGGATTAAGAGAAGACTAGCAGAAGCAGAAGAAATATTGCTCATGTTGAAATACATTTTACATATATACATATATATGTGTGTTTGTGTGTGTGTGTATGTAACATACACACATGCTAGCTACCTGATTAAGAACATCAGAATCAGATGCAGAAGAGACAAATGTAATTGCTAACCCCTTGGTACCAAACCTACCAGCTCTGCCAACCTGTGAGGGAAGGAAAACCCAGTACAAGAAACACAGAAATTTGCCAGAGATCAAGGACAGTGAGTACACCCACCAATTTACATAAGCAAGTAATAAAACTGTTAACAAAGATGTGCAAATGAAACAATACCCTGTGTAAGTAGGTATCAGCAGAATCAGGCATGTCATAATTGATAACAATGTTAACACGCTCGATGTCAATTCCCCTTCCTACTAAATCCGTTGCCACAAGAATTCTTGAAAGCCCCTCCTTGAAATTCTTATAACGTTTTAGCCTGCAAACGGAAACCATGCAAAATTACATGAGGCTAAATCTCACACAGGTCAAGAAAGATAAGAAGAAACAAAGTGTCACTTGGGTACCATTTGGTACGCAGATGGGACGAAACAGAACGGAACAAAGGTTTCATGCTACATTTAGTGTACACTCAGGTCGGAATGGAATGAAGGATTAAATGACAATTGTACCCATCCACTCCGACAAGTTCGACCTTACCTGAGCCACCGTCGACGAGTTCAACATCATCCCTCACATCTTCCGCCTAATCCTCGCTGTCCCATCCCTCGTGCGACGGCGTCGGCCACGTCCTGTGAGTGGGTGGTCTTGAGGTTTTCGTGGCAGAGGGCAACGGTCTCATCGTGGGACTAGCAAGGAGGGAGGTAGTAGGAGGAACGTGGGGTTGGGTTCAGATGGGTTTGTTGGGATTGGGTTAGCTTGGGTTTCTGGGTTTGTGGTGGAGCAGGAGGAGGCTACAAGAGAGAGGGAGGGTAGATAGTGAAATTAATGAAAAAAAGGAGGGGTATTGTTGTCCAAAAAGTTATACTTTTGTGTTCCATGGGCTAGAACAAGTCGTTCCGAGGGGAGGGTGGCACAAAAAATTGACTAAAATCCGTTCCATGAGACGGCGTGTCCCAAGTAAATTGGCACACCAAACGTGGGACAAGTGCGTCCCATCCCACTCCATTCCACAGGACAGCGCGTCCTAGGTAAATTGGCACACCAAACATGGGACAAGTGCCTTCCGTCCCATCCCACGTACCAAACGATACCTTGAAGTCCAAACAACCTAGGTAATACAAATAAGACGTGACAATGATTTTGGTACTCTTTATTTTAGCCATCTGCACTCCAAACTGAACATTTTAGAACTTCATCTGAATATCTTCTAATGCACAAACAAAAGAAAATAAGCGGAAAAAAAATACAATTAAAAAACAACTAGGCAACAAGAAAACACCCTCCAATCATGTGGTAATGAAAAAAGTAAAAATGAAAACCAAAGGATAACATAACATTCATAACCATTTTCTAGACCACGAAAATGTTCCCCAATTTTTCATAAGGAAAAAAACCAAGAAAAAATGGCTCTTTTTTGTCCATTTTCAATTTCTAAAATCAGAATCATTGACATTACTAGGTGCTAAGCATCCCATATGCAATAATTACTGGAGAAATAGGAAAAGGATAAATAGGAAATCCCATATGCAACAATTACCGAAGAAATAGGAAAAGGATAAATAGGAAATCCCATATATATTTTTGCTAAAACAACGCAATTACTTCCTTCAAATGCTTCCCTTTGTCACTGACACATATCATCCTCCAAAGCCAAGTGTATCAAGTAGAGACCTAGTGGATAATCACAGGAACCATAATTGATGGATATAGACAGGAGAGTCCAACAACAAAAGTAGGTTGATTAATTACTGAGGTAGGTCAGATGAAGCTATTATTTGAAGGACTGGTCACTGTAATATTTATAGAATTGATTATACGTACGGGAGATCCTGACTAATCTAATGCGCAGGCGGCTTCGGAGGCGGGGCGACCATGAAAATGCCTCTGCCTGGCGGGAGTAGGCTTAAACTCACCTAGATGGGGTCAAGGCGCACCTAAGGCGTTTGACTGGGCATCCTTTGTTTTTTTAAGTTGCCGAAATCTGAAACATTTTGAGTTGCAGAGCCGTCTGCCCAGCAAAGAAGATGAAGACAACAGCGTCGCAAGTGGGTTTTTGTCCGGCTGAGTTTTTCTTTTGTTTATATTTTTCTCTTTAAACTTTAAAGTTCAAACTGACCCCACTATTTCTGGAATTTGTTACCCGATCCTTTCTGTTCACTTTTTGTTTTAATATTATCTTTTTTTCATATACAAGATAGATAAGCATCTTTGTGTCTTTGTTTTAATTATTTTTTAACGTTGTATAATTCTCACATATGGGATAGATAAGCATCTTTTCCTGGATATTCTCATGACTAGCCAGCAGGAAGAAAAAGAGTGAATATTAAACCATTATGATGAATTGTAGCAACTGGTAGCATACGTTTTCAATAATACAAAAAAGGGCTTGACACCTGCACATCCAATGTAACCCAAAAGGATGGAAGGCATACCTTTCTTCCTGCGGCATTCCAGAGTGAATGCAGATGGAGGGGAAGTTACAATCAGCAAGTAAATTGTTCAGCTCAGCTGCTCTGCTTACACTTTTTACAAAAATAACAACTTGGTTGAAATCCAATGCATCAAGGAGGTCAGTCAATTTGCGGTTTTTCTCAGGCTCACTCAATTTGATGTAGTGCTGCAGAGAGAGCAACAGGGTGAGTGAGCAAGAAACAGTTAACCAACAACACAAAAACTCATCAATCAGATTCACATGTTAGACTTACCTGTACGAGACCATGAAGAGTCAATTTGGCTTCATCATCTACATAGATTTCCATGGGCTACAATGAACAAACAAGATCACAAGTTGAATTAAAACACAATTTTTGGGCCTCCAATACTCCATGATATGCAAAATGTTGTCAGACCAAGAAGCAGTATGGATAAATTTTATTATTCATGTAAAGGATTAAGTGAACATTACATCTTGCATAAACTTCTTGCAAACAGGGCGGATTTCCTTGCTTAGTGTTGCTGAAAACATCATCACCTGCTTGTCATGAGGAGTCAACTTAAAGATCTCCTGCACATCTCTCCTCATGTCTGAAATAGATAGAACAAATGGAAAAATAAATAAAACAAAATAAAAATAAGTTTTCCCAAAGTGAAATTGTGGGAAATGCCCCCTCAACAAAATTAGCCGTAAAACACTTACCAAGTGACTCAAGCATCTTATCGCATTCATCAAGAATAAAATGTCTGACATTCTTCAGTCCAAGCTCTTTGTCTCTTGCCAAAGCTAATACTCTCCCAGGTGTACCAACAACAATGTGAGGACATTCGTTTTTTAGCAAATCTTTGTGAACCTTGATACCGACTCCTCCATAGAAAACTGCAACCTTCAGGTCCGGCAAATAAGTACTGAACCTCTCAAATTCATGACAAATCTGTACCGGGAAACACAAGGTTAGTTCATTAAACAAAAAATGAACATAGAAATGTACGACACAAGCATTACTTGCAACATATCCAACATATATGTATGCATCACATATGTACGTGTATGCATAACACAGATTATCATTGTAATAGTTCGAAATTAGAGCTCTCAAGGCTTAAATTCACAGAACATACCTGGTAAGCCAATTCTCTCGTGTGGCAAAGAATAAGAGCAGCAACCTGACCAGGTACTGGATCTATTTGCTGAAGGGTTGATAGAACAAAGACGGCAGTTTTTCCCATCCCAGATTTTGCTTGACAAATAACATCCATTCCTAAGATAGCTTGGGGGATGCACTCATGTTGAACTGATGAAGCAAAAAGAATCGTACTGGACGAAACCTCAGTAAGTATAAATGACCTTCCAGATCCTTTTAATGGAAAGGTTTACTAAACCAGTTTTGTTGCCGAAATCATGAATATGGAATTAGTGATTACCTGGATAGAGAAAAAATACAAAACTCAGAAACAGTCAAACATGGAAGATGCTTAAACAACTACAACAATCCTTCCATTCTCACATTCCATGTAACAGAAGTAAGTTGACGAGAAAGTGTTCACATCTCTAATTGTAAATTGCACGTTTACATTAGGAATTGCTACGGCACATCTAATCTACTAGGTTAAAACAATGGAGCAAAGACATCAGGCATTTGAAAATTTAAGATGGATAATCAGAGACTTGACATCAACAGCTTTATTGAAATTTTAAATTTACTGAAACTCTTCCAAATAACTGATATATTGACGCTATTCCATATCCGACTAACTAAATTCACAAGTTAAAAGTAATTTGGAGTCCATAGAGTACACTCATGTGGCATGGCAAGAACTCACGGTCATTTACTTTGTAACCAGGAATACAGAAATGAGATGTAATAATATATTATTATGTGACAATCTTTTCCCAACAAAAGGTATCAAAAGTCTAACACCACTTGACATTTAGTTTAAGAATAACCAACAATTTATAATGAAACCAAAGTGTAGAACTTTGCCTTCTGAAGGATGTTCGAATCCAGAATCCACAATTGCTCGAAGAAGCTCCGGCTTCAATAGGAAGTCTCTGAATCCTGAACTATGGATGCCAACATATCCCCTGAACCATATTATATAAAAGGTTAGAAAGAACAGATTATGGGAATTAAAACCAAAATAACATTAGATCATCTCAAAATATGAACTATAGATTAGCTAGACATGCAGCACATAATAACAAATTTGTATCCAGCCATAAGAAAGAGATACGCACATAGAAGCGTTATCTGCCAAAAACAACAACAAAGCTGTCTCCCAAGTAAAAATACATAAGATAAACAAGCTCAAGAAACCCCAAGTAAAAATACTAACAGTTTTTTCTGAAGAATTTAATGAACCAAGGGAACCCACACGTTACATACTTTTGTTCTTCAGTTTCAAAGTGGCCAATCAAACATGCAAACAATACCGATAATTAATGAACAAACCGACCGGGAAAAAAAAAACCAAGGGTAACTAAAATTTAAATTAAAAAAATACATTCATTGAAGGATAATGCTACCCGGAGACCAAATTGTGTAAACCAAATGATATGGTTGTTGATGATTGAATAATAACTTCAGTGCCCATTATCGTGCTTATTTTATTTTCTATTGGTGACACATAATTTGGTTTGCAAATTTGGTTTCCCTAACATTATACCAAGAAAATTAAAAATAGTACAACTTCTATCTATACATATATAAAGCGAGGAACCCAAATGATTGGTGATATTTTCAGGTGAATTTTATACTAAAATTTAGTAAAAGGAAAGTAAACCGAAGAACTCACTTTTTGACGGTATCGCCAGAGGGCTTGGCGGAAACGGAGTTGGGGGCGTTCTGGTCCTCCTCTTCGTAGTCGACGAGCTCCTCTTCGTACCCATCGTTGTCTCTGACATCACCCATTCTATACACACACATAACAAAATTAGACCTTGAACGAACACGCTTCACCAACAATTACGAAATCAGAAACTTCAAGAACAAACTCAACAGCTCCTATAGGGTTTTCGAATTGCTTACCTTTAAGCGGAAACTCAGCAGGAGAGAGAGAGAGAGTGTGTGTGATAACTGCGATTTACGAGGCCTCTGAAAAAAAATAGAAGAAATTGAAAATGGCTTGGGGGAAGAATGGGGGAAATGGGGGGAAAACCTTGGATCTAGGGTTTTTGGGTTCGAAGGGAGTGGAGAAGATATAGGGAGTGGACGAAAAAACCCTCTCGGTTGGACGTAATGATCAATTGCGATAGAAAAAAATCAAAAAGGAAAATTCGAGATTTTTTTTTTTTTTTTTTTTTTTTTTGTGTAAACTGAAATTCGAGATATTTTAGCAAGCACGTTTTTCACCTTTTAGAGAGAATAATTCAACTCATGTACATCACCTATGTTCAAGGTTCTAAACTACGTTAAAAATTGGTTAGACGGTAGAATAAAATCTAACGCTAAAAAGGAACCCAGACGAATTTAAATAACTTTATGACATAATATAAATGCACACATAATTATTGGAACACATAAATTAAAAGATGACAGTTATTTCTTTTTTCTTGATTCGTTGAGTTGTGTTTGAATTGGCACCTAGGACACATTTGTTAAAGCAGCTCCACCCTTAAGGGGTAGGCCGGCTCAAAGCACAAAAACTGGCCTGGCACCCCCAAAAACTCTTCCAGCCCAGCATAAAAGGCTAACACCCAGCCCAAGCCAGTCTCTAGACTGGCTCGGAATGTGCTGAGCCAAGGGACGACTTATGTGACGTCACGCTGGCGCCAGCATGACATCGCAGCGCAGTTTAAATTTTTTTGCTCCAAGCGTATGGAAAACAAACGCGAGTGGGCTCGCGTTCCCGACAAAAAAAAGCGACGAGACCCGCCGTTGTAGCGCAACAATTTGTAACCCATGCTCGTTATGGACTGTTGGATTTCCAACGGCAAGTTTTTTGGACAAAAAAATTGAAATTCGAACCCAACAGCTAGTGACGTGGTGCGTTATGGGCCGTCCGATCCCAAGATCAACGGTCCAGGATTTTCGTCCAAAAAAGCGGAAAGAAAAAAAAACAAAAACCAAATGATCAGAATTATGACTGTTGGCCATGTGTCCACATCTGGGTTGTTGGATTTGAATTTTTTTTTAAATCCAACGATCCAAATTAAATAAATTATTAAAAATTATTAAAAAAATGTTTAAAAATACAGAAAAAATTAAAAAAAATTATTCTTTTTTTCTATAAATACTTAACCATCGTCTTCCACCTTATACCACATTTCAATATTTTCAACACTTTCAACCAAAACTTTCATATACTTTTTTGGTTGAAAACTTGATCGAAATCTTGGCCAAATTATTGTAAATAGATACTGATATGTGGCGCGTCAAGATTGGTTGAAAATCTTATTAGAAATCTATCCACAAAATAGTATTTTCGGATAATGACACGTGGCGTGACAAGATTGGTTAAAAATGCTATCCGAAATTAAAACTAAATTTTTTTATTTGTTATTTTATAAAAAAAAAATTAATAATATTTTAAATGGGATGGGTGCCAACGCATTTTTTAGGGGTGGAGATCGTTGGTGCTAGCGCAGTTTTTAGGAGTGGAAATACATTTGGCTAATTACTGTTCATTAGAATCTATCATGTTCAGTAAGTAGATTAAATGGGTTGGATGCCAATGTATTTTTTTAGGGGTGAAGTGGTGTAACGCCCCAACCCCGAAATATTTATTTTCAGGAAATAATTCCAATGAAAGGCCTAATTCAATTCTCATGTTTGATTTATTATCTGTACACTTTATTCTTTAAAAAAAAATCCTAACTATTCACATAAGTATCCACCAAACTTACTTAGCAAAACGTATGTTTATATTTTTAATTTAACACCAATACCTTCATATTCACTCTATTTCCCAACAAGAGATCAAACTCAATTGTCCAATTATCGTAATAACATAATTTCCTGCTTAAATTTATTAAACGTTCACACAATTTATAACTAGAATTTATATATACAAAACATAAGATTTCCTTTTATAATAAAATTCCAAACTCCTTACTTAGTTCAATTTCTCAATCAAAGCTTTGTCTCATTTATTTAATCTCACTTATTGTATGGCTACTGATGCGTGAATTATTTGACACACAAATTAAACCATCTTTTTGACAATTGTAGTTGGATGTAAGTAGGGTATCGTTCTAGGCCGGGGATTAGGAGGGATTGCTAATCTATTCTAAATTAATTTAAAAAAATATTAAATAAGACTCAAGGACACAAAATTAGGCTAAAAACTCTAATAACTCGAAACACACTTAAAATGACTCAAAATAATGAAAACAATTAAATTAAACACTAGGAACTGAAATTGACGGAAATTAAATTAAAAGACTAACAATAAAGAAAACTAACTAAATAATATAATTTAATAATGGATGGGTGTTTGGTTTTGATGAAAAGTAAATTAAACTTAATTAAATTACAGAATTGATAAAAACATAAAATTAAGGTAAAATGATAAATGACGGACTAGCTAGAGGGTTCTTCTCCACACATGACACATATGCAACCTAAATTGATTTTCAGTTGTTCTTTCAATAAATTGTGAATCTCAATACTCCAGATTAACCGTGAACAGCACTTTTTTAATCTTCAAGTTTTCCTTAAGTTATTGAATTGGACGGAAAAACGCATACAACAATTCAAAACATTCTTCAAAAGTCCCCTACGTGAAAAGCACAATAGAGATACAATCAAAGATCATTAAACTTTGTGAAAACTATAAGCATTGACGAGGCATTCGTAACTATGAAAAGTATGATACTCTTGCCAAGAATTTACTTAACGTGATTGTGACTAGCAACCTTTACTACTTGTGAAAATAAGTTCATAACGATTAGGTGAAATTCACTTATATTCTAGCATCAAATTCATGCATGTAAATTAAGCGTGCACTCTCAACCAACATACACAAATCAGTTTTTATACGAACGGATAAGTAAATTGAAATCACAACTTATGAAATCACAACCGAAGATAATCAATTCATATTACAAATATATTCATGGCTTTGAATTAACGTCTAGCCAAAATAACTTTAATTACACATTATTAAAACAAAAATAAAATAGAAGTTTGAAAAGATTTAACCGAGAGAAATGGAGTGAAGCCTCTAATTTTTCTTCTCACTGTGCCCGTCAGTCTCCCTTCTCCCCGTGTCTATCTCCTCTCCTGCCTCTGCGAGCTGACCTCCTGACCTCTCTCCCTCCCCACGTCTGCGAGCTTCACGCTTCCCTTCTCTCCGTAGCTTCACGCTGCCCAAAGGGCAGCCCTCTGCCTTCCACCAATTCACGTTTTCTGCCTTTGTCCCTTTTTATTCCTTTTTCTGCTATCCTTCCCGCGTCAGTGCTCCTCTGCTGCCCAGGGCAGCTCCTCCACCTTCCCGTGTCTTTATTTTTTTTTATTCCATCTTTTTTTTTCCAGCTGCAAAGCTTTAGTTTTTTATTTTTTTTTTCCTCTTGTTCTCTGCTTTTGACTCCTTGGATTCCTTCTCCGCGTCCAGCTGCAAAGCAGCTCTCTCTCTTGGATCCCTTTCACGTTTTCTGCTTTTCTCTATTGCTCACGCTGTCTCTCCACTTTCTTCTCCTACAACACAATAAATTAAAAGTATCATAAATACTTAAAGCTTTAACTAAATTAGACAAGACAAGAAAAGAAATATAAAAGGATGAAATATATAGTTTAAATATTGGTTTATCATTTAGCGTCACAATGGGTTGGCAATATTGTAATTTAAATTTGCTTTTGACGAATTTATTACATAAAATTTCACTTGTTCTATTTTTATTTTCTTTGCATAACAAATCCTATAAACACAAAAATAACGTAAATAGCTCAAAAATATAAGGAACTAACTAAGAAAAGACGAGTGAATTCGAAGTAAAAATATATATAAATATGATCCGATCAAATACCCCCACACTTAACTTTTGCTAGTCCTCGAGCAAAACAAAGAAAACAAGAACACGAAGTAACAAGAAAAACATTAGCTTCCCCCTTTGTGACCCTCATAGAATTTCTTTTAAGAAAACAAATCATCAAGAACCATAGCTAGCACCAAACAAGTTAATCCAAGTTCATCTTCCTTATTCAAATATTAGCAGTAATCTTTGAATCATCCTTGAAGGGTAGTGTGTGAGATAGCCATGCTAATGCAATTTCAAGTTTTTATTTTTAAAATCATCATATGCAAACTAGTAACCTTCTCACGGGATATGCACTCAATCACACATGTGTTTAGTTTTAATGTGTTTCGCTCAAAGAATCAAATGTGAAATTTCTACCATAAGCTTGCATAAAGATCACTTCTCCACAGTCATAATTGCAAAACTTAAATCAAGAGGACTTTTATTGGATGTAATGAGGTTTAGGGATAGGGTTATTGAAACAAAAGAATAGGAAAACACAAGTTCCAAGCTACATTGCAAGCAATTCTTTTCTTTAGATTTATAAGAACTCAAGCTCTCCAGCAATTCTTCTAGCACCTCCAACCATACTCTAAACTGAAACTTGAACAACTTTTTATTTTCTTTGTGTACAATTTTTCTTTTTCTTTTTCTTTTCTTCTCTTTTTTCCTTTTTTTTTTTAATCACAAACATGAAATACCCCCACACTTATTCTTTTGCCAAACATCTTCACAGTACTTCACAAACGTTTCTCATAAGACAATTTCGCATTGCTCGCTTGGAAAGGGTAAGGAAAAAATGTTTCAGGTATAAGGGTAGACATATCTGGTGATAAGAAATAAAAGGCTCAACATACACGGCTCAAATTGGCAATCTAATGATATCATTTTTCTTTGGGAAACATGGTTATTTGGGCCATAGTGGTAAACCTAATGCCTCTATCATTTCCAAATTCATGCAATCAATGACAAACATTTCGAAAGATCGTTACGCAAGTTCTAGAGATGTATATCACATAAGTTCATCACACATAAAAAAATAGGAGTGTATGAAAAATGCACACACTTTCAATAGGCTCAAAAACTCACATAGGATGTATATGGTCACTAAATTCACATATGAAGCTTTACGTCATACTTTAGTTTCACATTAACAAGGCTATGTGCATTTGATTTTTCAAAGATGGTCAAACATGTACAAAACTAACAAGAGAATTAGGAATTTCACCAAACACATGTTAACTAAGTTCTTGATGATCATGGTTCAAA